TGTAATGGTTGACAATCATCTTCCAGGATACTCACTCTCCCCTCCAAGGCCGCAGTGCGATCCCGCCATTTCTGCATATCTTGATGCACCAGGGTCAATTCCATCCTCATCCCCTTCACCTCCCCGGTAAGAACCGCTACAGATGAGGTACACGTAGTGACTGCGGAGAGGATTTCTCTAAGGGTGGGTTCAGGATGATCTACAATGGAAGCAGCAGGCTGTGCCCCATGAGAATGGGATGGAGGGATACTCACTGCGGGACTACAGGTCAGGTATATAAGTCTAGGCAGTCCACACTTCCTGGTCCCCAGTGTGGGTGTTATTAGAAGGAATAGGAAAATGTCCTTCATCAAATGAAACTTCTGAACAGTGCTGTCTAACAGTTGGCTCCTGCTTCTGTCAATCAAATCCTAAGAGGAGGGAGTGTTGGGTGGGGTCAAGCCACGCTGTGTGTGTCAACAAACGCACACAGCTCAGCTCAGGATCAAGCCTGCACGAGTGCCCCTATAGCAAGTAGCTTTCTATGGGGGTACACTCAAAAGAAAGGAAGAGTCGAGAGCGCGGCGGAGGACCGAGAAGAGAAAGTTCAGGGCCACTCTGTTCAAAACCATTGCATAGAGCTGGTAAGTATATGTTTATTATTTAAAAAATGAACTTTTATAATCACTTTGCAACAACTGGCACACACAATGTGCTCTGTCAATATCATATTTTGCATAGAGTGGGGTTTAAGCAGTTCATCACCAAAGAACTTGCTTCTTCTGTAGTGAGGATATGTGGGGTTTAGCTTGAAGTATAGGGCTTGAAGGACTCAGCAAGTTTGTTTCCTCTATATCAATCTTCAACCCTGGGGCCCCTCACCATGTGTAGGTGAGAAACCTATGTGACACATCCACACCGTCCAAAACTTTGCTGGCCAGTGCCTTAACTTTATACATATAATGGACATATTATTTTAACGTGATGTTCTGTCTCTTTCAAGCCCCTGTGTATTTTCTATTCACTAGTGTGATTATACTGCCTCTAACTGGTAGATAAAACCACATGTGAAAACAGTATTTTTCCTGGCACAACCTTTCAGAATATTTCAGTAAACTTCACACATTATGCAATGTCTACGGTAACTGCATATGACATAATGGTAAGAAGAAGGATTATACGGGTAATTTGAGCAATAGTGAGCAAACACTCCCTTGCCTCTATGAAGAAAAAGAGAAGGATTACTGGGAAATCCACAAAAGGACACAAGGGGTTGAAGATGTAAATGTTTTATGACCCATGCCACGTATCGTTGTTATTGATATTGTGAGGTTACAATGTGATAATAGGTCAAGGTATATATTTGCTTTAATTTGCTAGTGAATAATGTGACAGTATATCCTGCTTGCACACTTATATTAGTACAAATACATACAGTAACCAGTTCTCTAAAGTATACAGAGAAATGTAAAACATACAACCAGGGCTTTTTTTTAGAAGGAATGTGGGGGGAATGCAGTTCTGGCAATTACAGTACTGACTGCATCTAATGACTAGTGGTGCTGGGGTGTGCTGGAGGGTCTATTGGTTCTGGCAGCTGGGGGATTTTTTGTCACTGGAGGGCATCTATTTTTGCATGGGGGTCAAATGTTGCTGGGGAGGTCTATTGTTTCTGGTGGGGAATCTGTTGCTTCTGTGGGGAAGGAGTCTTATGTTGCTGGGGATCAGTTGTTGCTGGGGGGAATCTACTGTTGAGGAAGAGGTTTATTGATGCTGGCTGCTGGGAAATCTGTTCTTGCTGCTATGGTGGTTCTATTGTTGCTGAGGTGGTATTTTGTTGTGGGGGATCCATTGTTGCTGAGGAAGTATATTGTTCTGGGGGCAAATCTATTGTTGTGGGGGGTGGTCTATTGTTGCCGGGGGCATCTATTGTTGCTGGCTGCAGGGGATCCACTGATTTTCTTGTTATCATTAACAAATTCCATACAAATCACAAAATGATAGTTGGTTCTGTATTCTCAAATAGGGGCAGTACTCAGAGGTGCATAGGGGGTGGAACCAAGGGACAGTGCTCGGAGGTAGGCGAGAGGCAGAGACAAGGGGTGACTCAGAATAGGAGAGTACCTGCATCTATTCTATGAGAAAAAAAAGCTTTGTATACTACCCTTACCCACCCACCCAACCACCAGAACTTTGAACAGGGTGTGGGCAGGGCCACCTTGCCCTGCACATATTGTGATACCTTTGGCTTGTGTGCGTGCTCATCATTGCTCGGAACCAGGCGGGGCCACGTTCATGTGACTTCAACATTATGGCGGTACCCCCGAGTTAGAGACAAGCAATACACTGTGTGCAGTAGTTAAAAGTACAGAGACTCTCTGTGAAGAATGAGGTCCTGTGGTATTACACACCTTGTCTGTGAGATGTTGCATTTAGGAGGGACACCACTGAGCCTATGCCCACTTCATGTACACACCTCATGCGTGCACTTAGTAAACTCCTTCTGCTATCCAGTACCAGGCAGCCAGGCTGCGGGTCTCTGTAACGTGGGTTTGGTCCTGGTACTTTTCGGGAACCAACCACTGGGGAGGGAGTCAGAGCTCAAACTCCCTCGATACTGGAGGACCTGTTGCCATGCCAGGTACCATGCTTCATGACAGGGCTCTATCCACCTTCCACCAGTCCTTGGTTACTCGTGACAACTACTCGCTTCCTCCACTCCTGAGGATTTAACCTTTCCTAGTGGTCTTGCACCCTTTTAGAGTAACTCTAGACCAGGCTTGAAACAGCTTTACTGAAGATTGAACTACAAAGCTCAACAGCACTGCACACTCTGCAATTAAACAGAGTGCAGCCCTAATTAACTAATGTAGGATGCCAGGTTTATACCTTCCAGGGTAGCAAAGTCCATTATGCAAAAGTCTAGTGATGGTAGGTTCCTAGTCCAGGGAGAATCCCAACAGGGTGACCCAGAAGAGGTTCATGTGCTCCATAAAGGCTTACGTGCTACAGCAGTGTTTCTTCTGAAATCCCATGTGGAAGAGAGAGAGCTTTGAGTTCTCCCCCATATTTTTGTGGCTTACAGCAGGGGGCAGGAAAAGAGTTTAGACACAGTTAACCCAGGCAACCTGTAAGTGCTCATGCACACTGGATGTTTTTATAGCTGCTGTTTTTGGATTTTAACTTTTTTTCTACAGCTACTAAACCCCCCAGCATGTTATCCTATGTGTCCTTGCACACATAGACTGTAATCAACGTTTTTTAGGCTGGAAAAAAAAAAAACCCAGGACTAGTGGGTTTCTAGAGGAGTTTTTTAGCTGTAAAAAGCTCTAACACTGAAAAACACGCAAAACACACAGTAAAGCGCAGCAGTCCAGTGTTTTTGGACTTTTTTTTGCTCCTCCCCCCCATTTTTGTTTTTTGGTAAAAAAAATGCTAAAAAATGCAAATTCGGGAAAACGATGCTAAACTCGGCAAAACACTGCTAAACGCTAATGCAAAAACACTAAAAAAAGCTGAAAAACTCAAGTTTTTACTGTGACTTTACACAGCTAACATTACCAGCGTTATCAAAACACACACAGTGTGTATGGAGCCTAACTGTCTGTATAACTACACAGTGCAATGATACAACAGCAGAAATACATACAATGACACCCCACAAGCACCTGCTTACACTGGTGTAGACCCTACTGGAGTCCTAAAATACACATTTGCACATCCTAATATATACCCCATCACCACTTTCAGCTTGAGCCCTCTCTCATCCTAGTCCCATCTTGCATCTGCACACAGCCCTACATATACTGTATATCCTAAAGCTATAATCTGTTAAATGTATGACGTACCATTTTTTTCTCTTTGTACAAAATGTGAAGATGAAGCTCTTTGTACTAGCTAATGTTAACTCAAAACCTCAAAACTACTTTGTACTACTACCAAATGCACATGCTCTGATGTAACCTAGCCCTGATGCACAATAATAAACAATGAACAAGAAAAGGGTGTAGACAAAACAAATTGCATTTAGCGTATCCTACATGGACCAAAATTGGAGAACCTGATAAAGACTTAGGTGTCCTTTTATGAAACAGAGATCAGCGGCGATCCTGAGGATCGTTGCTGATCTGGTTTAGGAAACATGTTCTCCGCTGATCATCTCTGCATACAGAGGGCCAGTATATGAAGGAGCGATGTCAGCCCTTCACTGGCGATCTGTGTTCTCCCTCCAGATTCTCAAGCCCAGAGCTGGAGAATCGGAGGAACCGCAAACGAAGCAGCGATAATTTACAATACTTAGTAAATAGTGTTTGACTGATCTCTTACTGTAATTTCACGAGATTTTAGTAAAAGCGGCTGTTTTCCAGCGTTGAAAGCGTTTGTAGATCGCTTCTCCCTTCATATGGAGAACTGATCTACACCGATTCATAAAAAGGCATTCAGAGGAGAACTGTGTTCTCTGAGAATGCTGGAGAACTGAGCAGCGGTCATTTACCGCTGCATGATAAAAGGACACCTTAATTGCAGTATTATCATTTAAATAAAATCAGATTACAACACTTTCACATTAGCAACTGTATATTTGGCAAATGTACATTTTCAACAAACAGCAATTTAGATTTGTAAGATATAAGGCAAAATATTGTAAAATAAATGCTTTTTTACCGCTTTTACTAGTAATATAGGAGTATACAATCTTTTAGCATGTAGAGTAAAAACAGAATTTAAATATTACATAACGGGTCAGACCAGTTAATACAAATCCTGCAGCAGAGAATATTGGAGGCTAATCCCAAACCCACCCCACATTCATTCAGAGATAGACAGCTGTGTTCAGACATTTTATTTTTAAGAAGATAATTCTATTTTAACCTACACAATTTTTTAGGTATATAAACATATTTTAGAAAAATAGTCTAAGAAATGTTTAATCTAGTCAAATCTGCTTCTGCTTGCTGTGTACCCATCATGTCCTTGTTCTGGATTATAGCCTGTCATTAATTTAGAAAAAAAAGTTTTACCTTGTTTATTTTCCTTTACAAAAGGTATTCCAGAGCATGATACGATAAACAGAGAAGTAAGGAAGATGTATTGTTCCAGAGAGATCATTCTTCTGCCAGCACAAAAAGGTTAATAATGAAACTTTTGCAAGAAGGAGTTCACATCCTTCCCTGACTGATGTTTCCTGCTCACAAACATTATCATACTGATTCTCAAGCCAAGTTTTCTCCTGCAGCTACTGCAATTACACTTCTGTGTTGCACAAGTACCTGTAAAGCTTAATCAGTAAACTAGTCTAAAGCTGGCCATACATGGGTCAGTTTTTTTCATTCAACCCAGCAGATTAAATGAAAAAAAAAAAAAATCTCCCCATCCACACATTAAAGGTGGATGGGGGGGGAAACAACTCTAAAGCTGGCCATACATGGGTCACTTTTTTTTTTACCGTTCAACCAGCACATTGAACGAGAAAAAAATCGAAAGTCCCTAACTTACATTCATTCACATACTAGGGCCAATTTAGACAGGAGCCAAATACCTACCAACATGTCTTTGGAGGATGGGAAGAAACCAGAGTACCTGGGGGAAACCCACACATGCACAGAGAGAACATGCAAACTCCAGGCAGGTGGTGCCATGGTTGGGTATTTGAACCAATGACTCTAGCACTGCCAGGTGGAAGTGCTAACTATTTAGCCACTGTGATAAATACACAATTGTAAAATACCTTTATTTCGGCTGTGGGTTACTGCCAGTAAACAGATATACAAACCCGTTTAGTGGTAAAATGCGCATAACCTATTAATCAAAATCTATTAAGGCTTAGAATAAATAGCAAATTGAACATAAATGAGCATACAGCTGATTGATTATAACACAGTCTGCTAGACAAAGTAATAACTATTGGCAAAAATTAGATTTTATATACCTAACTATGATTAGAAGGGTAAGTTAGTAAATCAGCAATAAACAATAGCTTAGAGTGCACTCTAAGGGATTGGTAGGAATGCAGTGTCTCTTAAGAGCTACTATACCTCTATAACCACTTGCCCTCCGGAGGATTTACCCCCCCTTCCTGACCAGGCCATTTTTTGCTATATGGCACAAAAAAGTTATTTTAACTGACAGTTGCACGGTCATGCAACGCTGCACCCAAATTTAATGTATGTCCTTTTTTCCGCACAAATGGAGCTTTCTTTCAGTGGTATTTGATCGCCTGTGCGGTTTTTATTTTTTGCGCTATAAACAAAAAAAGACCGACAATTTTGAGAGTAAAAAATAATAATTTTGACTTTTTGCTATTAAACATGTCCAGTAAAAAAAATAAAAAATAAAATTTTGTCATCCCAATACGTGTAAATTAATTGGTTTACGTGAATGTTATAGTGTCTACAAATGACGGTATAGATACTGGAATTTTTTTTTCTAATACTAGTAATGACAGTGATCAGCGACTTATAACGGGACTGCGGCAGGCATTCTGACACTGGGGGGGAACTGACTAACTGTTACTGACATCTCCAGTGAAATTAATACAGTGATCAGTGCTAATAAAAAGCACTGACACTGTACTAATGGCACTGGACAAGAAGGGGTTAACATCCGGGGCGATAAAAGGGTTCACTGTGTGCTGTTTTACTGTGTGCTGTGTGTCTTTCACTGTGTCAGCACATTGCTTTGTATTGCTCTGCTATGCAGAGCAATACAAAGCAATGTGCAGGAGCTGACAGGGGAGAGATCTGTATTGTTTACATACAGGTCTCTCCCCCATCAGTGATACTCAGAGATCGCCGGGTGCTGGTGCAGAATCACCGGCCAGGACCCGTTGATCGGAAGCTGAGGCCGCCAATGCAAAAATATATATGTGATTTTGCGCAGCCTTGCCACCCTGTAGCAGTATTTCTGCTATAGGGCCACAGGAAAGAGGCTAACTATAAAAAAAACCCAGGCCTCAGGGCAGCAACTGTTAGGGGTAGCCTTTAGTCTTGACTCTTCGGCCTGCTAAACTTTGGGAGTCCGTTGGCACTCGTTAAGGCAGTCAGATAAGGGCTGCAGGTAGTATTAGAACTATGGAGTAGCTGTAGCTGTAAGCCTAATGGCTCAGTCACTAATGGTGGTAACAAGTAGCAGCCACAAGGCCTTCTCACCAGACCCAGTGACACAGCAGCAGTGGTCTCTCTGATCGGGTATCCGTTCACTCTGAGTTGCCCATGACGACGCTGGTAGGTAGCTTTGTCTCTCCATATTCTGGTCACTCTCTGTACCCTCTGGCTGTCCCTCACACAGGGCTGTGGGATCTGCTGACACAGGCTTTGTCCCTGTTAGGTGGAGTTCCTTGACATGGTCCTGTCACAGCACTCTGCTGTCACACTCTTAGGAAAATCCTATTTCTGGAAACATCTGGTTCTTTCCTCCTTACTGCTGATTGGTCAATTGGTGGTTAAACTCTGCACTCCTCCCTGGAGGGGGGGCCAGAGACCTAGAGGGCGCTAAATGTTATAGAAAATTCCTATGATATTTAGTGCCATCTAGTGGCCAAATGTGGCATTTTCCACTTAATTAAGAAAAACACCCAACCAGTAGAGGAAATAGCTTAATAACATTGTTTTTGTTCCCCATTTGTACAGGGAAAACTGCTATGCAATGTTTTAATAAATACACACTTTAAAGTGTCAAACCATAAACATGTCATGTTTGTATTAGATAAAGTGGCTAATGATAGGAATTAACTAATTGGTTTTACTACTATGTGGGGATCCAAAAACACATCCAAAAACACTTCCAGTAAATGATGGCTAGGGAAGGGAAGTGGCTATAGCTGTTAAAAATATTCATTATGTTCTCCCTGCAGGGACAGCTCCTCATGCCCACCCCCCTGGGAGAACACAGTAGCTCCACCAGGGGGATCCCCCTCATCAACATTGACAGTGTTGATGGGGGAATCAAGTGATTTTCTTTCCTGTAGTCTGAGTTTACTGGAAAGTAAATCGCATAATCTATGGCCTGCCTAACAGAAAAGAACCTTCATAAAACTCTCAAATCTACCAAAGCTTCTCTACTATAAGAACAACACTGACAGGGAATGGTTGTCATTAAAGGAGACCAAACAGGAAACCTTTGTTTTTAAGAAAAAGAATTGCTGCTATTCATTAATTTGAAAAAGACTACCAAAATGTTTCAGAATGTTTCTAGGAGTATGTTCTAACAGGTGAGATACAACTTGAAAATTGTGACAGAAATTAGCAAAGTTATGCTTACAGACACAGCACTACTTGCTAAAACCATCCTAACCTTGAAGCATGGTGGAGGGAGCATCTTGGTTTTCAGCTGCTTCTCTTGGTCCTAACATTTGGACATTTTGTTCAGAAAGACAAATAGGTAAATAAGTAAATTAACCTGAAATGCTTAAACAGAATAATATATGTATTCTCAGATGGTGAAGTCTTTACCTAATTCTAAACAAGATGTTTTTGGATGACTTGTATATGCAAGAAATAACAACAATTTCAACAATAGTCTGATTTGCAGCCACAGGAAACATCTGGTAGAAGTTAGTTCTGCAAAAAGAGGTGTCTGCTGTACCATGTACTTCTATGGAAACGTATTCTGTTCTCAATGTATTGCTTCCTTTGTGTGAAATCCTTGGTGTTCCTGCCACTTCCCAATCCCCTATAGCAGACGTACTGCTACAGGGCGGCAGGGATGCGCAAAATCACATATACACTAGGGTTGTCACCTCATCCCTTTAAAAGCGAACACATAATAATTATGCAGGTTCTGAGGCTAATTTAATGCAAAGGTACTAGGTGAGTTTAATTACCACTTAACCGCCTCCCGCCTGCCATATAAGGAAATGTCATATGACATCCTCCCAAGCTCATGCCCCTGGGACACAGCACATCATTGATCGCAGTAAAGAGCCGATGACGTAGGCTCTATCATGTGATCAGCTGTGTTCAATCGCAGCTGATCACATATAAACAGGAAATGACGGTTATCGGCAGTCCTCTGCTCACGCAGACAGCGCGTGAGGAGAAGAAACCCGGTAAGCGGAATTCCTCCAAAGGGACATCTACACTGATCATTAGGGCACTGATCATCACCCCAGTGCTGTCAGTGCCCATCAATGCCACATACCAGTGCCCATCAGTGCACATCAGAGCTGCCTTTCAGTGCCAGTCAGTGCTGCCTATTCAGTGCCAGTCAGTGACACCTATCAGTGCTGCCAATCAGTGCTGCCTAACAGTTCCAATCAGTGCCACCTATCAGTGCCAGTCAGTGCCACCTATCAGTGACCATCAGTGCCGCCTATCAGTGCCATATATGAGTGCTGCCTTTCAGTGCCCATCAGTGGTGCCTGTCAATGCCCATCAGTGATGCCCATCAATGCCCATCAGTGCCGCCAATCAGTGCCTCCTCATCAATGCCCATCACTGCAGCCTCATTAGCGCACATCAGTGAAGGAGAAAAATTACTTATTTACAAAATTTTCTAACAGAAACTAAGAAAAAACTTTTTTTAAAAAAAAAATTTCTGTCTTTTTTAGTTTGTTTAGCAAAAAATAAAAAACCCAGTGGTGATTAAATACCACCAAAAGAAAGCCCTGTCTCAAAAAAAGGATAGTTGGACCTACTTGCCTCTTTGGAGGCGGAACGGGCCCTGCATTGGACCAAACACAAATTTTATTCCTGTTCTAATAAGCCGGATCCGATGCTGGCCAGGAAACTCAATTCTGTGGGGAAACCCCATAAATTGATCCGATTGCAACTTCCCGCAGGTGGCTGTACTTCTAATCCCCAGCAGATTGTCTATCGTTTTGCAGACTTACTTTTGCACCTTTACACTAAACCAGATCCCTTCCCTGTGGCTCAGGCAGAGGCATTCTTCCAAGATCTTCGACCTCCTGGATTATCCGAGGCAGCGCAGATGGCCTTCAATGCTGGTGTCACTGTATCGGAAGTGCTCCAAGCTATCAAATCTCTACGGTCCACCGCGGCCCAAGGTCCCGGCGGCTTCTCCAGTCTCTATTATAAGAAATTTGCAACCCTGTTAGTGCCCTTCTTGGCTGACTATTTTAATAAGTTACGACAGGGCTCTTTGCCCTCTCGGACGCACTTAGAGCTCATATCTCCATGATTCCTAAAACGACCGGTGATGTGCAGGAACCGCAAGCCTTCCGGCCCATTTCTCTTCTTAATGAAGACCTGAAGATATTGGGCAAGATTATTAGTCTTTGTATCAATAAATACTTGCATAGTCTGGTCCACAGGGACCAAGTAGGTTTCATCCCCGGGAGGCAGGCGGGTGATAATGTTCGTAAGGTGGTCCATCTTATACATTTTCTACAACAGCGGAAAATCCTGGGATTCTTACTCTCCTTAGACATATATAAAGCCTTTGATTCTCTATCCTGGGAATATCTGCGGTTTGTGCTGTCTCGTTGGGATTTTGGGGATTCTATTCTTTCTTGGATTCAAGGCTTGTATTTTTCCCCTTCGGCTTCCATTAAATACGCTGGGTATTTCTCAGATCCCTTTCCTATTTGGCGAGGAACCAGACAGGGCTGCCCCCTGTCCCCAGCGCTCTTTGTCCTGGTGCTTGAGCAGCTGGCTTTAGCGCTCAGGACTGATTGTAATGTATTGGAGTTCCATACGTGGGACAGGAGTTATGGTTGAACTTTTTTGCGGACAATGCACTCTTGACTCTCACTAATCCCCTGACAACTCTTCCAAATTTGCAACAGGTTCTTTTTTTTTTCCAAAAAGTATTTTATGGAAAGAGGAAAGGCATATCAAGTCATTTACAGATATGTTTCACAGTCCGCAAATGGACATAGTACATATCCTCCCGTATCGCAGACGGGTCATATGTTGTAGGTTTAAAGTGTGATACATCTCGAGGCAAAATAGCACAATATGGCAAATTAATATTACATACCAGCAGTTATAATGATTATATTAGGTAAGATAAAATAAGTATAATGAACAATGATCCAATGAGTAGGAAGTTCTCAAGGAAAGGGACCGTGGGGTGTAGGGCAAGAATAACATCGGAAGGCGTGTCAGCCATGTGTGTCCGTATCTGGAAAGTGTAGGTTACTTAAAAATAGTCACACCTGTGTGCGAGTAGATGCTCTATTCCGTTAGGAATATATTAGTGAGGACCTGTAAAAGGTGTGAGATAAAGATAAGTCAGAAAAGAGAACAGAATGGAGAAAGATGTGTAGAGTGACGTCATAGGGGAGGGGAGGGGGAGAGAAAAAAAAAAGGAGGGGGGGGGAGTGATTGATTAGGTAATTGCGGCTAAACCAGTCACATCATTATGTATTAGCCAAGCTAAAATAAACTCTTCATCAAGCTTAAGATACCATCCGCGTAGGATCATTCATTGTGGTAGTACCTGAGGTAAGAGCCCTGAAGGCAATCCATGCTACAGAGTCTCAGCTCATCCATATGAATATCAAAAAAGTCTACAGTGAGCAGGGTGTTCCTTATTACAGCCCAGTGTTTAGTCCTTCAGTCAGAGGGTGTGGATTTTTCATGCATTAATAGGTGATAAGTAGTGATGGTTTTGAAATGACTCCAACAAGCCCATGACTTCCTGAATCTCTCGGGGGGTTCCTTTGCTAAGGAAATCAGTTCCTCCATTTCCTCAATTTTGGTGATCCTATTAAACCATTCTCGGATAGTGGGAACATGTTCTGAGTGCCAGTGGACCGGAATACACTGTTTTGCCTCGTTTATCATGTGCAAGGCAAGTGATTTACGGTAGGTCCTAAAAGGAAGTGAGGAGTGGTGGAGTAAAAATTGTGCGGGGGAAAGGTCTAGGGTGTATGTAGTTACCTGTGCGATTATGGCTCGAACTTTTCCCCAGAAAGGCTGTAGCAGTGGACAATCCCACCATATATGTAAGAGCGTACCTGTTGACCGGTGACATCTCCAACATGAATCTGAGATGTTAGGATCAAATTTATGAAGCAGGGACGGAACTCTGTACCATCTAGAATATAGTTTAAAGTTGCATTCTTGCGTGGAGACACATACAGTCAGGTCCATAAATATTGGGACATTGACACAATTCTAACATTTTTGGCTCTATACACCACCACAATGGATTTGAAATAAAACAAACAAGATGTGCTTTAACTGCAGACTGTCAGCTTTAATTTGAGGGTATTTACATCCAAATCAGGTGAACGGTGTAGGAATTACAACAGTTTGCATATGTGCCTCCCACTTGTTAAGGGACCAAAAGTAATGAGACAGAATATTAATCATAAATAAAACTTTCACTTTTTAATACTTGGTTGCAAATCCTTTGCAGTCAATTACAGCCTGAAGTCTGGAACGCCTATGCATCATCATCAACCCACCAGACGCTGGGTTTCATCCCTGGTGATGCTCTGCCAGGCCTCTACTGCAACTGTCTTCAGTTCCTGCTTGTTCTTGGGGCATTTTCCCTTCAGTTTTGTCTTCAGCAAGTGAAATGCATGCTCAATCAGATTCAGGTCAGGTGATTGACTTGGCCATTGCATAACATTCCACTTCTTTCCCTTAAAAAACTCTTTGGTTGCTTTTGCAGTATGCTTTGGGTCATTGTCCATCTGCACTGTGAAGCGGCGTCCAATGAGTTGTGAAGCATTTGGATGAATATGAGCAGATAATATTGCTCGAAACACTTCAGAATTCATCCTGCTGCTTTTGTCAGCAGTCACATCATCAATAAATACAAGAGAACCAGATCCATTGGCAGCCATACATGCCCACGCCATGACACTACCACCACCATGCTTCACTGATGAGGTGGTATGCTTAGGATCATGAGCAGTTCCTTTCCTTCTTCATACTCTTCTCTTCCCATTACTCTGGTACAAGTTGATCTTGGTCTCATCTGTCCATAGGATGTTGTTCCAGAACTGTGAAGGCTTTTTTAGATGTCGTTTGGCAAACTCTAATCTGGCCTTCCTGTTTTTGAGGCTCACCAATGGTTTCCATCTTGTGGTGAACCCTCTGTATTCACTCTGGTGAAGTCTTCTCTTGATTGTTGACTTTGACACACATACACTTACCTCCTGGAGAGTGTTCTTGATCTGGCCAACTGTTGTGAAGGGTGTTTTCTTCACCAGGGAAAGAATTCTTCTTCGGTCATCCACCACAGTTGTTTTCCGTGGTCTTCCGGGTCTTTTGGTGTTGCTGAGCTCACCGCTGCGTTCCTTCTTTTTAAGAATGTTCCAAACAGTTGTTTTGGCCACGCCTAATGTTTTTGCTATCTCTCTGATGGGTTTGTTTTGTTTTTTCAGCCTAATGATGGCTTGCTTCACTGATAGTGACAGCTCTTTGGATCTCATCTTGAGAGTTGACAGCAACAGATTCCAAATGCAAATAGCACACTTGAAATGAACTCTGGACCTTTTATCTGCTCATTGTAATTGGGATAATGAGGGAATAACACACACCTGGCCATGGAACAGCTGAGAAGCCAATTGTCCCATTACTTTCGGTCCCTTAACAAGTGGGAGGCACATATGCAAGCTGTTGTAATTCCTACACTGTTCACCTGATTTGGATGTAAATGCCCTCAAATTAAAGCTGACAGTCTGCAGTTAAAGCACATCTTGTTTGTTTCATTTCAAATCCATTGTGTGGTGGTGTATAGAGCCAAAAATGTTAGAACTGTGTCGATGTCCCAATATTTATGGACCTGACTGTATGACTACTGCAACTCCCTCCTCACCGGCCTACCCCAGTGCAAGCTCTCCCCGCTTCAGACCATCCTGAACTCAGCGGCTAGACTCATCCACCTCACCAACCGCTCCCCCTCTGCCTCTCCCTCCACTGGCTCTCGATTGCCCAACGCATCAAATTTAAACTTCTAACCCTGACCTACAAAGCCGTTCACAACACTGCCCCTGACTACCTCACCAACCTGATCCCCAAGTACCGCCCTACCCGTACCCTTAGCTCCTCACAGGACCTCCTTCTATCCTGCTCCCTGGTCTCCTCCTCCCATGCATGACTGCAAGACTTCTCCAGGTCCTCACCCATCCTCTGGAACTCACTGCCCCAATCCATCAGACTGTCGCCTTCCCTCCTCACATTCAGGCGCTCCCTCAAAACCTATCTCTTCAGGGAAGCCTACCCCACCCTCACCTAACGGCCATTCTCCCTCATTCCTCCCACCACTTCATTCCCCTCAACCACTTCCTACTGTACCACTACCCCCTCCCTCCTAGATTGTAAGCTCGAAAGAGTAGGGCCCTCTTACCCCCTCGTACGTTGTTTGTTATTGTTGTACTGTGCCATGTATTCTCCCCCTATATTGTACAGCGCTGAGCAAACCCTTTGGCGCTATATAAACTCGATGTAATAATAATAATATGGACCCTTTATGTATATGGTCATAAATGTGGTCTCAGTCCTCTGGCGATAGTTGGAGTTGTAGGTCGAAACACCAGGCCCTGCAGGCTTTCCGAAACGGAAGGGCAATGGTGTTTTTGAGATAGGGGTAGAGCTTAGATACAACATGTCTCTGGGGAGAGTCTGTAGAGCAAAGTTTTTCAAATAGGGTAAGTGGCCTAGAATAATCTTTTAGATGTGGGGAGCTCTGTATAAAGTGGTGGAGTTGTCTATACATCGATGGCGTCAGGGTCAGGGATGGCCATTTGTTTGTAATGACGTCTCTAGATAAGAACCTGTCATCTTTGAAAAATTGATGTACTTTCAAATTATCCGCGGGGTTATATCCGGCGAGAAAGGCCTGTGACATACCGGATTCATTTTAATCAGTGTCAGAGGGCCAGGAGTGGAAGAGAACTCTTTTTTCTGACTCATCTGATGGTAACAGGACAGAGTGGGGCCCATGAGGTGTTCCCTGAACTCTGAAGGAATGTGAGAGTTTTTCAGCCAAGTGGAGGTGGCGAGTGGTATCCCCGAAAAATCAGCTTCCAAATTAACCCAAGCCTTTCGGTTGCGGTTCGTAGACCAGTCCACTACTCTTGCCAGGTGACAGGCCCTGTAGTAGCGGGTGATATCAGGTAACCCAATACCTCCACTTTTCTTGGGCATGGTAAGTTGGTCAAAGCCAATTCGAGGGCAATTATTACACCAAAGAAAGGAGGTACAGAGTGTTTTGTAGGACTTAAAGAAGGAATTCGGTAATTTGATTGGAATCGTTTGTAGTAGGCATAATATTCTAGGGAGCACGTTCCTCTTGAGGATAGCTGCTCTACCAAACCAAGAGAAAAAAAGATTTGTTCCATGTCTGAAGATCTTTGGTGATACTACGTAAGAGGGGTAAGAAGTTTTTGGCGTAGAGTTCTGCAACAGGTTCTTGAGTGCTTCTCCTTGATTTCGGGTCTCTGTATTAATTTGTATAAGCCTGTCGCTCTCAATATTACTTTGGCCTCAGATTTGGTTTCGTGCCTACAGTCCCACTTCCCTTACAAATGGGCTTCCTCTTCTCTTGAATACCTAGGTATTCGCTTGACCTCCACCTATGACTCTTTGTTTGCTGCAAATTATTATCCATTGCTTCGCTCTGTGTCCTCTCTTATGCATTGTTGACAATTTCTGCATCTGTCTTGGATAGGACGGGTTAATTAAGTGAAAATTACCATCTTGCCAAAATTGTTATACTATTTTCACACCCTCCCAGTGCGGGTTCCTCCTCATTTTCTTTGGTTGATTCAGGCAAAGATTATGCGTTTTATCTGGGCCAATAAGCGCCCCAAAGTCTCCAGAAATACGCTTTTTGATCATAGACTCCAGGGTGGTCTTGGGGTAATGTAACTAAGTATTATCAGGTGAGCCAGATTGCACCGCTGTCTATGTTGCACGCTTCCTCAGATGTTCCTCTCTGGGTCCTGCTGGAACTACCTAATTGTGCCCCTATTGCGACATTGATGCTTCTATGGCTTCCCCCTACCCTGCGCCTTAGGGCACTGAGTCCGATTTTGCTCCATGGCTTGCAAGTGTGGGACTTGGTATGTTACTCCAGTGGCCTGATGTCACCTTTCTTGCCTTTGCTCCCAATTACTAACAACCCTCTCTTCCCACCGGGTTTAGATCAACCAAGGGCGTTTTCTTGGTGGGTGGCCAATGGTTTTTCGCAGGTGCGACACTTTTTGACTTCTTGGTCCTTCCCTACCTGGAATTCTCTTCGGGAGTCACGGGTGTGACGATCCCAGGATCGCTGCCACCAATATGTGACAATCCCACGATCGCTGCCACCAATATGTGACGACCGCGGCGTCAGACCCCAGCCCTTCTCACCAAACTCGTGACCGAAGTACTAGCCAATCTAAAACCACGATGTCACGTGCGTAACAAGGCCACACCCAGCACAACGATTTTCCAGCTAATTGGACCACAATCTATGTAGCGGCAGCCTGAGCGTCAGGGGTTACTGGGTCAGGTTAATTACACAATTAACCCTTCACACTGCCACCACCTCCTTTTTGTACAGAGAAAGAGGAAACTCTGCGATATCAGCTATAACACTATAATGGTTGAGATAATCGTCTGTATAACACGGTCACCGCAGGCCGGTTATACAGAGGGTTAAACAAACACAGTAGCGCTCTTTTAGAGGCAGGAATTCGTAAATTGCAATAAAGAGCTATAGAAGCAGTTCAACACTTTCAGAAGGAAAGATTTATTACTAAAAGGTCAAACGGGTGCAATAAAAATATTTACAGAAAAAAAATGTAACCAATATATAAATAAATATACAGAGAACAACAGGACAGCAAAGGGGTAACAGAAAGGAGGTTAAAGGGTTAAAGTACTTGCCAAAGTCCTGGGTTAGCAGATCAAGTTTCAGAGTGAAAAGGCTGTCTCCCAAGCTGGTTCTGATGTTAAACAGGAGAATTCTTCAACTTCACTCTCTTAGGCCTGACAACCCATATTGTAGTTCCCCGACAGGGGGTGTCTCTGAAATCCAGGACCAATACCCCGTTTAGGGCGGGAAGGTCTGGGCGTAGACCTAAACTAGAACCAAAATCTCTTATAGTTCATATTTTGGCTCATAACTTTCCCTGTACACAAGTGACACTCCACCTGCGGGTAGATTATTATGCAGATGCCTCTGAGGAGCGGGTAGATATGATATATGAAATACATATTTGAAGGGTCCCAGAGATGTAATTTTCTGCTTTCCTATGTATTCCAGTCAGGGAGTGTGACCTACCAAACTGTTTGTCTCCTCGTGGCCAATCTGAAGATATGCTGGTTTTTATGTAAGTCTCTCATATTCCAAGATATGAGACATAGGGGAAAAATGGATTTTAAAAGTGTTATCTGGTTTCCTGCTTCTCTGGAATGCCTTGAACTCCTGGGAAGGCTTGCCTTAGCTTTTACGAGGTGTTATATGGCACAGCTCCCTCGGACAACCAGGCACCTCGCTCAGAGAGGTGTTTTATAGCTCTAAGCTACCTGCTGTGCCCTGGCCTGTGACACTCCTAATAAACAGGCCATATGTCAATGTGTATGAGCAGAGAGGAAGGGGGGAAAATGAGGGACAACATGGAGAATTCTTAACAAAATGGAGGGTTGGAGCAAAATGGTTGGTCCGCGTCCACCTTTGTGTGTACACTTGCTACAACAGGATGTCCCTCCAGTGGAACTTTTTCGTTACCTTCAATTGCGACATTGGCTGATTTCACTGCGGGGCACTTCCGCTTTACTGTACCAGAAATCTGCCTTTGAACTGCTTTGCCAACAGTGTCCGGGCACCCCGGGCCTTGTTTACTTTCTTTATGCAGCTTTAAACAGACGCCCGACGCATACTTCTCTTTATGTTGTTCAGTGGGAGTGTGACCTGGGGGCAGTCGTGGATCTGGAGGACTGGAATAGGGCCTGGTCACTTATAGCTAAATGTTCATTTAATACAACCACGCTGGAAGTGACATACAAAGTATTGTTTCGTTGGTATTGGGTTCCGGCTCGTTTGGCCCAGGCAAACCCTGCCTGCTGTGATCGATGCTTTCGGGGTTGTGGCCATCGTAGTGATGTATTGCATATCTGGTGGTCCTGCCCAAGACTGTTTCATTTTTGATCTCATGTGTTTGGCCTCCTTTTCCCCTTGTTCCATCTCTCCATACGCCGGGATGCTTGGTATGCTTTGCTTCATTGTCCCATACCGGCCTCTCTTGGCTCATCAGCCAAAGTTGGCTTCCTATTTGTTTTTGTCGGCCACTAGAACAATTGCTCAGGCCTGGAAGAGCCTGTTTGTCCCTCTTCAGGGGTGCGGGACCATAGGACCACTATGATGCTCAATGAACAGATGTTGAGTATCTGCAATGACTCCCAACATAAATTCTTGAAAATATGGGAGCCATGGTTCCCATGCCTTTCCCATGCTCCCCTCCAACTAGTCTGGGGATGTGATGTTGTTCGGTATTGGCGTTCTCGGACTGCTCTTGGTTTTGTTATTTTTTTTCTTTTGTACTCCTCCTTCCTTTTCTTCTTTTGTATCTTTTTGGTGTGGCAGTGGATAGCTGCCTTTAGTTTGAGTTACTAATGTTTTTGTTATTTAAGTGCCATTGATAGCACACCTTTTGCTCTGTTGGTGTTAGAGCACTGTTTGTTCTAATTTTTTATGTGCAGTTGATAGCCCCTGCGTGGGCGTGATTTGTTGCTTCTGTGTTAAACTGTTCAAAATTAATAAAAACCATTGAAATACGAATGAAAAAAAAATGATAAAAATTTTGTTTGGGTACAGTGTTACATGACCGCGCAATTGTCAGTCAAAGTAAAACAGCACTGAAAGCTGAAAATTGGCCTGGGCAGGAAGGGGTTAAGAGTGCCTAGTAGGCAAGTGATTAATCAGCCGCAGAACCTGTGTAATTAATATGTGTTCAGTTTTAAAGAGATGAGGAGGCAACCCTAATATATACGTGATTTTGCATTTCCTGGGTAGGGCTCCCTACCCACGCTGCTATTGGCTCCTCGGCATATCAATCACCGGTCCTGGACGCCGATTCTCAGCCAGAACTCAGTGATTGTTGGTGGAGCTGACAGGGGAGAGGTTTGTATGTAAACAACACAGACCAATCCCCTGTCAGCACGAACAGGCTGCACAGCAGAGCAATACAAAGCAGCTTGTCTACATAGTAAAATACAAACAGCATACTGTTAACCCTTTGATCGCCCCACATGTTAACCCCTTTCTACCCAGTGTCATTAGTACAGTGTCAGTGCTTTTAATTAGCACTGATCACTGTATTGGTGTCACTAGGGATGTCAGTGGCAGTTAGTCAGTTCCTACCCAGTGTCAGAATGCCCACAGCAGTCCCGCGATAAGTCGCTGATTGATGCCATTACTAAAAAAATTAAAATAACCCAGTAAATATACCACCATTTGTAGATGCTATAACTTTCACGTAAACCAATTAAATTACACGTATTTGGATTTTGTTTAGCAAAGATATGTAGCAGAATACATTTTGGTCTAAATTTATGAAGAAATTTTATTTTTTTACTGGACATATTTTATAGCAAAAAAATCAAAAATATAGTTTTTTCTTCCAAAATTGTCAGCCTTCTTTTGTTTATAATGCAAAAAAATAAAAAACGCAGAGGTGATCAAATACCACCGAAAGAAAGATCTATTTGTGGGGGAAAAAAGGATATAAATTTCATTTAAGTACAGCGTTGCATGACCGTGCAATTGTCAGTTAAAATAATGCAGCACTGTATCTCAAAAATGGCCTGGTCAGGAAGGGGGTAAATCTTCTGGAGGGCAAGTGGTTAAAAACTGACTACACTAGGCAGGAGAGCACAGAGTGGAAAGTTCTCTAGCTGTGCTGGAAACAGTGTGCGCTCCTCCAATTATCAAACTCTTTGTAACAGCCCCTTACCCCTACAGCCATTCACTGGGAAGTGTGCTGCTGTTTCTCCAACCTCACTGCTCTATGTGAACCACAAAAAAAGCAGAGGTCTCCAAAAATAATATATCTCTAGATAATATTACTAGATGAGTGAACACAAGCAATACTGTAATGTGAAAAAATTTATATAACAAATGAATAAAATAAATATAGCAAATAAATCGATAAAGATCAGTGGAAAAGTCAGTGTCCAACAAAAAAAGAATTAATAAAATAAAAACGTGTACCAAAAAAAAAAAAATAAAGTGTCCATATATATATATATATATATATATATATATACACAGTTGCAAGAAAAAGTATGTGAACCCCTTGGGATTACGTGGAGTTTTGCATGAATTGGGCATAAAATGTGCTCTGAACTTCATCTAAGTCACAACAATAGAAGAACACAGTCTGCTGAACATAATACTACACAAATATTAGATGTTTGCCATGGTTTAATTGCACATAACATGTAAACATTCACAGTGCAGGGAGGAAAAAGTATGTGAGGCCCTAGCTTAATGACTTCTCCCAGAGCTAATTGAAGCCAGGAGTGAGCCAAGCTTGACTCCAATCAGTGTGATGATATTGGATGTGTTGCTGAGAGCTGTCCTGCCCTTAAAAAACACACACCTGTTTTGGGTTTACTGGTTTCAAGAAGCACTGTCTGATGTGAACCATGCCTCGCAGAAAAGAGCTCTTAGAAGACCTACCATCAAGAATTGTTGACTTTCATGAAGCTGGAAAGGGTTACAAAAGTATCTCCAAAAGCCTTGATGTTCATGTGTCCACAGTAAGACAGACTGTCTACAAATGGAGAAAGTTTAGCACTGTTGCTACTCTCCCTAGGCTTGGTCGTCCTGTAAAAATGACTGCAAGAGCACAGCGCAGAATGCTGCATGAGGTAAAGAAGAATCCCAGAGTGTCAGCTAAAGACCTACAGAAATCTCTGGCACATGCTAACATTTTTGTTGACACATCTACAATAAGGAAAACATTAAACAAGAATGGAGTACATGGGAGGACACCACGGAGGAAGCCATTGCTGTCCAAAAAGATTATTGCAGCACGTTTGAAGTTTGCAAAACAGCACCTGGATGTTCCACAGCACTACTGGCAAAATATACTGTGGACAGATGAAACCAAGATTGAGTTGTTTGGGAAGAACACACAACACTATGTGTGGAGAAAAAAAGGCACAGCACACCAACATCAAACTTCATTCCCACTGTAAAACATAGCGGAGGGAGCATCATGGTTTGGGGCTGCTTTGCTGCCTCAGGGCCTGGACGGATTGTTGTCATTGATGGGAAAATGAATTCCAGAGTTTATCAAGACATTTTGCAGGAAAACGTACGACCATCTGTCCGCCAACTGAAGCTCCGCAGAGGATGGGTGATGCAACAGGACAATGACCCAAAGCATACAAGTAATTCAACAAAACAATGGCTGCAACAGCACAGAATATGCCTTCTGGAGTGGCCCAGTCAGAGTCCTGACCTCAACCTGATTGAAATGCTGTGGCATGACCTTAAGAGAGCGATTCACACCAGACATCCCAAGAATATTGCTACACTGAAACAGTTTTGTGAAGAGGAGTGGTCCAAAATTACTCCAGATCGTTGTGCAAGTCTGATCTGCAACTACAGGAAACGTTTGGTTGAGGTTGTTGCTGCCAAAGGAGGGTCAACCAGTTATTAAGTCCAAAGGTTCACATACTTTTTCCTCCCTGCACTGTGATTGTTTACATGTTATGTGCAATTAAACCATGGCAACATCTAATGTTTGTGTAGTATTATGTTCAGCAGACTGTGTTCTTCTATTGTTGTGACTTAGATGACGTTCAGAGCACATTTTATGCCCAATTCATGCAAAACTCCATGTAATCCCAAGGGGTTCACATACTTTTTCTTGCAACTGTATATATATATATATATATATATATATATATATATATATATATATATATATATATAAATATTTTTTTTTTTATACAAATTTTTTTTTTTTTGATACAAGTTTTTTCTATTATTAATTATTTTTTTGTTGGACACTGGTTCATATATTTTTTCACTGATTTTGTTCACTGACTTTTCCACTGATCTTTATTTGCTATATTTATTTGTTAAATACATTTTTTCACATTACAGTATTGCTTGTGTTCACTCATCTAGAAATATTATGTAGAGATATATTATTTTTGAAGAGCTCTGCTTTTTTTGTGGTTCAGATTGATTACCCTGTTTTTACAGGGGTTAGTTAGCAGCTCTTCCTAATATATCTGTTTGATACATGCACATTTATTTTTATGTGATATTGGTTCCATAGGCGCTTTCCCCAATTGTTATTATTCATCACTGCTCTATGTAGCGGAGAACAGGGATATGTGATCACTGATAAAAAAAAGGGGGGGAGGGGGAAGGTATTTATAATGTTTTATATATCTATACACAAATGGTTTGCCTTTCATTTCTATTTTAAACTGAATGGGTTGTTTTACAAGGCGAGGGTTTACACTCCCTTTCCTTGATAAATGCAAGTGTCCACATACTTTTTTTCCAGCATGGATGATAAATGTGTCCACAGTGTGTTCAAAAAAGACATAAATGAGCAAAATCCATGGCATGTTTTTAGTCTGAGCAGCTAACATTTTTCTATTTTTACAATTTAGGACCACATTTGGAGACATTCCAACAAAAAGCCAGGCACTTCTAAGGGGTTAACAAACCTTTTTTTGCAAACGTATGCAGCTCTTTCTGAGGCTCTTATTTGTTGCAACAAGAAATGACCGAGCCCATAATGTCTGTTTTTCTGGTAAAAAAATAATAATATTTCCTTCCTTCAAGGAAAAGGGGAAGTCACATTTGTCATAAAAGTGTTTCTTATATAAAAAAAAAATGTACAATTCAGCATTTTAATAGGAAAAAACTTTAGACCAACTATAAATCACAATTGTATTCCATGAAGGAATGATTTACCAAGAAGCAGGCATGTACGTATGTTTAATTAACTTTCTGCAGAGAGCAAATTCCCCAAAATATCACAAATAAAAAACTACTATCCAAGTGAACAAAAGGTACTTTTACACTGATTATTAGTATATATTTACTTTTAGTGTTTTTCTCTTGGAAAAAAGATTATTGTGCCACCTGTTTAGAACATTCATACCATTGTTTACATCAATGTTTATGTCTTTAAATTAATCTGTTAATCCTGTCCGATAAATGAAATTCCAGCATAGCACCGACAGCACTTGATGGCTATGTCTGAAATTCTCCACTTATACTTTCTATGGGAAGTTCCTATAATGCTATGCCTGATGCAGCACTAATACTCCTCACAGTTCCCAATGCAGCTCTATTACTCCTCATATCCATGACAGAAGTGCCCCGATAGAACAAACCCTTTTGTTGCAGAGATGAGGATGAATGGGACACCTTGCACTCATATGAATGCATATAAATCATCAAAATAAAGGTATTTTTGTTTTTTTGACCACTTCACATCTGCAGTCATGAGCCTGGTGTAATTTTTTTAGCTTCGATCAGCTATTCAATAAAAGTGATCATGGCAATTTTGTAGCCACCTGGTCATTTTTACAGTGGTGGGAATGGACACGCCCTCCTCACCCCCCCCCCCCCCCCCAGCCTGGGCCACAGAAATTGGTGGTAACTAAGAGAGCAGGAGGTGATAGGAAAGCACTGGAATCCCCCTGCGATTATTGCACCCAATAGCAAAGTATATTAGTCACAACCCTGCTCACAGCTGTCAGTCCTCAGCTACTGTAGCTGAGGATGCAGCTAATTAAGCATTATCTGTGCTTGATTAGCTGCATGGGATGGCAGCGGAGATATGAAAGATCCCTGATGTCTCCATAAAGAGTACTGATCCCCTGCACATGGTATCAGATTGTTAGCACCTTGTGATAGCAATAAAGTTAATAAGTTACAAACAATTAAAAAGTGTTTAAAAAATTGTATTAATTTAAATAAGAATAATAAGAATACTTTTTTTAAAACAGTGTCAACTTTTAAACATTTTAGGTACTATGGTGTCTATTTACTCAACACAACCCTATCTTTTTATATTTTACAAACAAAAAATGGATATTATATTGTGTTTGCGTTCATTTTATTTTATTTTGTCCTAAATATGTGTTTAATAAACAGCTGCACAGATATTGTGTGATATAAAAATTGCAACAATCACCATTTTATTCTACAGGGCCACTGCTATGAGAAATGATATACTTTTGTTAAATTATATAATTTTCTAGCAACAAATGCTGATTTTAACGTGTGAAAGATTAAAACATTTTAAATTTGGTTATCAGATACCAGCAGAGCCTGACAGAGCAACCTAGATGGTTTTATTCTTATACTTTACTGTACCCCATTATTATTTTAAAAAATATATATATATACATTC